CAAGGGTGACTTTCAGCCCTTGATATCAAAAGTAAAAAATCCAAAAATCCATAAAATGATTTTGATAAATTGTGATCGGTCGACTCCAATAATCCAACCATTATTTATTTCATTTTGACATTTCTTTCATGAATACTTTCAACAAAAAATCTCAGCACTAAGATTTTCTAAGGGTTTCCCATGTTCAAAATCCCAAACCAGTCGTGTCTATTATACACCAGTTCTCTCTAATGTTTGAGTGAACTGCCAGTTTTTCTGGTATTTCTATACAATTTAGAGTGTTAACTACATGCCTATGTTCTACATTTCTTGTTAATTACTCTGCTTTCCACTCAATTTTGAATTTTAAAACTTGACCCCATGAGAGTTTATCAATGATCTTTATCTGACTTTGGTTGATTTACTCACCTTCACAGTTAGGCAGAATCTACCTTAGGGATCATCTCAATAATAAACATCTAAAAACCATAAACAATCCATTCATAGCAACCAAGACCAGCAAGTCAAATCTTAACTACACCAAATGGGCACTTGGTAGGTATGCAACATAATCATTAGTGATTGTAACAAGATAAGCACACATTTTGAAGGCCCTGAATATATGGATTGACTCACCTTGAGCCATCTGGAATTTATTTCTTGATTCTCCATTACCTGGGATTTTTCAACTACATCAACTGCCCTTGCAAACACTTCACCAAACACATTTTATTAATGGACAGTCATGACCAATTTTAAAAACAATCATGAAAAGTGAAGCACAGTCTTACAGATTCTGCGCATAAGTATGACATACAAGCATATCTCAATCAGTGTTCAAAATTTGAAAATGTCTATGCATCATCATGCAACTGCCAAGAAGATTTGCCCCACAGGTTTGCTGCTTTCACTCAAAGCTTACTAGTTAAAGGTTCAATACCAACAGATAAAAGTCTCAATAGTTTAGATTCAATCATTACTCATGTGATTTGAGAATGGACAGAAGTGAAAATGAGATGTAGCTTTAGAAATTAAAAAACAGACCCCTATAAAAGTTATAAACTTCGATTGAAACATGTAAGAGTTTCAATAGTTCAGATAGTTCAGAAGAGGATTAATGTTCAGAAGAGGATTAAAGGTTCAGATATGATTATTACTCACAATGACATGAGAATGTTAGTGAAAGAGTAAAAGTGATTAATAAATAAGACAACACAAATTCTTACAAACTGTTAAGATTGGTGCTAAAGATCACACCTTTAATAATATTTTCAGCCTTCTTAATTACAGTGAAACCTGTAAAGTGAAACACCTCTAGAAGTGGCACACCTCTGTTAGTGGAACACTTTCAGAGTCCCAAAAACAACTGACTAAATGTTAAATGAACCTCTATATGAAGAACACCTCCCAATTGGAACACCTTTTAGAGGTGCCAAATGTGTTCTGCTGAGACTGGTTATACAGTAAAACCTGTGTTAGTGAACACCTCTCTCTAGTGAACACCTGTCCCTAGTGGACACCCTTCCTACGCACATAGTCCACTGACTTCTGTATAAATTACCCTCTCTCTAGTGAACACCTACCTACAGTGAACATTTTTTCTTGGCAAAAAAATGTTCACTATACACAAGTTTTACTGTACTGTAAATGTGAAAACCTATGATTGTGAACACTCTCAATATCAATATCTCCATATGAACGCTTCGAACAGTCCAAATAGCATAGTACAGTCATTATATATTTAGAGGTTATGTCACTATGACGTGAAATATGCCTGAGTTCTCCCAATATAGGCCGACCTTGGGAGGCTCTATATTTGGGCAAGAACGAAGGCATATTTCACGTCATAGTGACATAACTGATGTATTACATGCCTTTGTTCCCATGGTTACTTTGTATCAATGACGTGACGTCATGATATTATCATGGTTATTAAAGAAATCTAATATCAAAACGAGGTAAGCGGGCTATATCGGGGTAATCGGGCAATATCGGTGGATATAGCTCGCTAACTTTCCCATTGACTTCCATACAAATGCTTCGCTAGGTATGTAATACATACATATATAGGAGCTTTCCAAGATGTTGAATCCTCCATATCAAAGCATAGTCAGTTTTAAGTGGTAAAGCAACATACTGTGTCATCTTATCAATGTAGAACTTTACATAAGCTTCATCAAAGTGAAAAGTACTATAATTATTTCACATTATCTCTGTTACTATGATATCGATTCTGGGTTACTAGAGTGTCATAATGGAGTTTGTAAATAGACTCTTGGTGATTACACACGGCAACCAACCAGATCTTGTCAGTTAGCTCAAAGTATAATATATTTACCAAAGGGCTACATTGCCTTAGACAAGACATTAACATGCAAAATGTCACAACCTGCCATTTTTTACAGACACTGGATGCCACCAAACACTGACCGCTGAACACAGTCCACAAAAAAGTTGGAGACTTTAAAAAATGTCCTGGTAACATAAAAATGAGGCCCCTCCATCGGCCGATGATACCACGAGTTAACAGTATGATCAGGTCCAAACTAGTACCTCTGTTACAGGTATATACATTCCATCCCCCATATAGAAAAGAGTAAAATGAATAGGGAGAATTATACATTGATACATTGATCTCATTATTAACAATATCTTTAGAATTTCTCCCCAATCTACATATTCTACTACTGAATTGTCATTTCCGTTCCTTTTTCATGAGTTGTGCATTGTTTGGATTTTTCTCATATTCACAAATGATCAGCTGCACACTGAGTTTTGTAGCGCAAGATTTGTTTGGTAATGCATGAGATCATACAAGTCAGTAGTGATGATAAACTCACACCCCCAAAATGTATGTAAGGTTTGATTGGTTCAGAGGAAAGATTGTGTAAACATTATATGTAAACTAAGATTTGATTGGTTTGGAGGAAAGAGTTTGCAAACATCATGTGTAAACTTATATTAATGGGTGATACAAAGTAGTGATAATTTAACATTTATCTAGTAAGAGTTAATTTGAGGAGTGAGGGGCTCAGAATTTTGATTATTTAATACACCATTATTATTATTTATTTTTGCATATTAAGGAGACTAACTTGCAATATAATAACAAGAACACAAATGTGTACAAAATGTCCCCACCTATGGGTGATCCCGTCAAATGGTTATCCTAAAAATGAGTAGACAAGACTTTACCGACACAATTTGAGGACGGAAAATCCAAAATGGCCACCTTAAAATTTACCCAGAATGCCAAAAAATTAGTCAGTTCTAGATTTTCATACTAAGAACCACCCCTGAAAATTTCAAATTGATCGGTCACACAGTTAACCAGAAAACATGTAAACAAGACTTTACAGACAAGATTTGAGGACAGAAAATCCAAAATGGCTGCCTTGACATTTATCCAGAATGCCCAAAAACTAATCAGATCTAGATTTTCATACTAAGAATCATCCCTGAAAATTTGAAATTGATCTACAAAACTGTTCACCTAAAAACGCGTAGACAAGACTTTATGGGCAAGATTTTAAGACGGAAAATCCAAAATGGCTGCCTTGACATTTATCCAGAATGCCAAAAAACTAATCAGATCTAGATTTTCATACTAAGAATCATCCCTGAAAATTTGAAATTGATCTACAAAACGGTTCACCTAAAAACGCGTAGACAAGACTTTATGGGCAAGATTTTAAGACGGAAAATCCAAAATGGCTGCCTTGACATTTATCCAGAATGCCAAAAAACTAATCAGATCTAGATTTTCATACTGAGAATCATCCCTGAAAATTTCAAATTGATCTACCAAATGGTTCACCTGGAAATGCGTAGACAAGACTTTACAGACAAGATTTTAGGACGGAAAATCCAAAATGGCTGCCTTGACATTTACCCAGAATGCCCAAAATCTAATCAGATCTAGATTTTCATACTGAGAATCATCCCTGAAAATTTGAAATTGATCTACCAAACGGTTGACCTGAAAATGCGTAGACAAGACTTTACAGACAAGATTTTAGGACGGAAAATCCAAAATGGCTGCCTTGACATTTACCCAGAATGCCCAAAAACTAATCAGTTCTAGATTTTCATACTTAGAATCATCCCTGAAATTTTGAAATTGATCTACCAAACGGTTGACCTGAAAACGCGTAGACAAGACTTTACAGACAAGATTTTAGGACAGAAAAATCCAAAATGGCCGACAATAAAAAAGTGATTATGAGTTTTTGCTGATTTCTTTTTACAAAATTATCACAGATAACTACTGTTAACAATAACATAGGCTTTTACAACAAAGTACACCTGAAATTATTTATAAAGCTACAAAATAGTTTAAGTATGAAAACTGAAAAACACCATTCAATATGATACGAAGAATTATCGTGCGCTAACTTTTCTTAAAACATTCAAAATGGCTGACATGACTGAGCTAACAGGTCCAAAACCTAATCAGATCTAGAATGAAGTGAGCTGAACAAGATACTAAAGTTTTAAAAGCAACTGTGAAGCCGTTTTTCTTAAAGTTTGCAGACAAGGATTTTAGCATTTGCTTTCAAAATGGCCGACAGGAAGTAGGTATCGAGTCAATTTTTTTTCATCCACATCTGTATGCACTCATAAGTTATCCCTGAAAATTTGAAGGTGATATCTGTAGCAGTTTTTGAGAAAACTGCCGGACGTACGGACAGACGGACAGACGGACAGACAGACAGACGGACAGACGGACGGACGGACGCGCCTAGGCCGACAATATGGCCCCACACTATGTGGTGGGGACATAAAAATGTTTGATTGATTTATATCGAAGACTAGTATGTCTTGCTGAGGTTGGGCGGGAGACAGTAAAGCCATTCGCCATGGGGATCATCTCATCAAAATGCACCAAAACCATGCAAATGGCTTGATAGAATCCCTTACCCAAAACCACCTACGAGAGCACCCCGACTCTTCTATGACTCTAAATAATAATAAAAATACATTGAAAAAAATAAATTAGAGAAAATAACAAAATAAAACTGTTTAGTTTAAATAATTATCTATTTTGATTCATGCAACTATGTACAATTTATTTACATATATTACATAAAAAACAATAATAAATAAACCAAAGGACAGCTAAAACGCTACCTTGACTAACTACAGCGTAGGGTTTCGATGACCTGTAGACTCAACATTTGCAATAAATTTCATTAGCAATCATCCTCTTCACATCCAACTATGAATATACAGGAAGGATCGGGAATTTCCTTTAAAACTTTGAAATTGATCTATGCATATTGATTTTGGAACCTATAGGGTGGTTAGCAATGTCTTGGAGAAGCAGCGCATCAGCGTTTAATTAACATAATTCTTTCAAAGTATTTGGACTTCTGCAAGGACCAAGAGGCCATAATTATTCTTGCGTGAAGGTTTTGGGAGGACACCCTGTGTGTATGAGGAGGAGTACAAGATCCCAGGCTCAGCAAATTTGAAAATGATTGCAAATGGTAACCCTACAATGTCTTATACTACAGTGAACATATCTATATGTACTAATACATAACAAAGTAAATCATGAACACAAACAAGTACATAAACAATGGTGAACAATGAGAATGTGTCAAACATACAGTCCATCGCACAGCCTCCAAACACAAGTAACTGACCCATGTGTATAAACACAAAGCAGGAGTATTTCTAGAGTCTGAGCAGAAGACTGTGCATGTAATACACTAGCTATAGATTGCTGAATAAACACACGGCACAATTAAGAATTGATTCCTTGACAAAAGCACGTCCGAGTTGCGGTTTATTCATCAATATAAACCTATTTATTCTGACTGTAATATTGTTACAACTGTGGTTTCTATAATAAGGTAAATTAATGATAAAAAAGATATTTAGCTCTAATTTATTGCATGAAGACAAATATCACCAGAATTCTGATGTTAGAAATGAAATAAAAAGAAAGCAAAATTAATGTTCTTAACGTTAGCTTATCTAAAAGGATGACATAAAATGATGTGACTTGTGACGTGATTTGATGTGACATGACACAGTGTGACAAAAATTAAAGACATCACATAGGGTGAAAACAAATGCACTAAGTGCACACATAAATTAATTAAAAACGTATATATATTGAAAATATTCCAATTGAAAGTCTATGTGAAATACTCTTACACTTATACAAAAAAAAAAAAATTCATAAATTGCAGCAATCAACTGGGAAGTTATTTTAAAAAGGCACAATAAAGCCTCCTTGAAGTCGTAATATCTATCAGCCATCAGCTAAAAGTACAACCCAATGTGGCGCCTACAGACATGTTATTTTACTATCGTAGGTATCAAATCCTAATTTCTAAATCAATCACCTTTCATTCAATTTGTTAACAACAATTCCATTCTAGAATAACATCATTTTTTCTACACTACAGCCATCTTTTGATAGGAATATGAAATATTTTCATATAACAAAAGAATTAATTCTATATACATTTTCAATACAATTGTGAGAGATACAAGGCCGTTTGCATATTTGGGCAGTCATTAGTTCGCATTATATGTACAAATTATATACAATTAAAATAGAGCTTTGTACATATATACTTATATACACATATAATAGAATAAATATGCAGATTCAAAGTTTTGGTGCCCACTTTTTGGGGCAGAGGTATTATGGCAACTTTTATTGCAACAATGTTCATTCTATGTTGACTAACACTGAACTGATACATGACATCAAAATGCACTGACATCTGACATCACAATACTATGACATCATATTACATGTAAACCTCCTTTAAATAGCACAGTGATCACATGATGTTACATGAAATAAACCAGAATGACATTTAATCGAAAATGTTCATTAGATGTACACAAGATCATGTGATCACTATGTCATCTGCAGTAGGGTTACATCACAATATTGCGAGCTGGCCTACCCGTTCAGTGGACAACTCATGTGGGATTGAGCGACAAGAAGTGGAGATTCTTTGCGATAATAGACTCTTCCACGTACATTTCTGTTCAGTTGTTGGTGCACGTAATGTCACGACGCGTGCATTCCAGTTTAGGTAATAATCGTGACTGCCTCGTTCTGATACCAATTCAAATTCGGCAGCTGAAAATATAAAAATGAAAACATAAGTATAAAACATAATTTTACGCATTAAGTAAAATAATTATATTGCATTAAATCATATTATATTCAGAAATGTAAAATAAAGAAAGATATTCCTTTTAGTCACATCTTTAATCTTCTGTATAAGATTTCACTTACGATGTTCACAATCGAAATCCATCTCTCGAACCTCATGTAAATTCAATGGTTCGTCTATCACAGCGTAGCGGCCATCTTGTTGCATTTTTGTCAGGAGAATCAAGTCGCTGAATAGTAGAACATTAAGCTTGATCCACTTTCTGTTTTCAGTGTATAGGAGGTCACCAGAGTATATCAAATGTCTTCCAGGAGTGGACAAAGTGAATGCCTTTAAATAGATAAAGAATCATTATAGCAGGGTTCACTGATGGTACATGTAATGTAATTATTGATGATTTGTAGGCACACTTACATATCCTTAAATGTGCTTAATGATGGGTTTAATAAAATGAATGAAGGTTTGAATATAATAAATAACATGTTTATCTTTTAATAAAATGATGTTAGATTTTAAGAGTCTGAAACCAAGTTGAAGATGTGAATGATTGTAATTAAGATTAAAATCAGTTATTCTGAAGCCTAATATCCTACTAAATGGGTAAAGCTGGATAAGCATTGATACCAAATTTATGAATTATTAATCATATTTATTCAATTAATTATCTATATATATCATTATACTTACAGGTACAGATGACGAAAAGATAAGTTTGGATTGTATGTCCAACACATCTGAATCCAATGACGATGTAGATTGGATTGACTGAGTAGACGTTCTTGATGGACAGGGAGCTTCGGGCGGTGACCTTGAACTCCCAGAATCCCCAGTATTTTCCTGTGACATCTGTCCTTGGCTGAGTGACCCCGTTGATCCTCCGCTTGTACTACTTGGCCGCAATGTTAAATGTTCGTGGATAATTTGGCAGGTTTGCTCCATGGCTATAATTCAAAATAAATCAAAGTTGAATTAGATGTTCCCAAGGGAAATAAAAGCTAAACTATTAAGGTTTGTGTTTTGTTGTTTATAGTGAGTAATATTACTTGTTAAAAATAGACATAAACGAAAAAATACTGATAATTTGGCTAATTGCCACTAATAGTCAACATGGCAACACATTTCTTATTTTGACAACGAATCTGAAAGGAAGTAATTTAATATAAAATTTTATCATCACCTTTTTTGGATATAAGAAACGTAAATCAATGAAAAATTCAAAATTCTTACCTTGTACTACATTGTCTAAGTCAATGAAATCGTAATGCAGCTCAGCAGTGCTGGAGGCTATCACGTTGATTTGGCGGTAGAATTGACGAATAAATAAGATTGGCTGTCGTATAAAATCCTCAAGCATCAGCTTCTGGTTGAAGGAATCTTGTTCCTATAAGAAAATGAAAAAGGAAAATTTAATCAAATAATTCAATTTTAATCATTAATGTTCTGAAAAGTCCTACACTTTATATACATACTTCAAATATTGACAAAATAATGAAATGAGAAATTTACAAAGTTGGCTAATTAAGTACAAAATAGAATGAAACTCTTTTAGTCCAGTGCATCTGTGCTATAATTGAACAAAACTATTCCATTTACCATCGATTAATTTTAAAAACTGAGAAAAAATATTCAAGAAAATATCTCACCTGCAGAAATGTGTTGAACTCATTGTATTTTTTCAAATCTGCGAGGAGTGATTCGGCCCTCCGCAATCCTCGACTGTAGATCTCATATGCATCACATAAGACCTGGATCTATTGGAATACATATACATAACATTAGAATAAATCATGAACAAGTATAATAATGAGGAATGCTCTGTCAACAAACGTGATACCATACATTTTGATGCAATCATAACAAACGGAAGTCCCCCAATATATAATTTAGTTATAAAAACATCTCGATATAAGATAAATGACACTGTGTCAATTGAATGTCATTCCAGTCTTGGACTCCCAAAACTAAAATATCAATTATTGTCATGCACCAAAAACTGTATTTGTTTTAAAAAGAAGTACATTTCCACAGAATTTAAAGAGTGATACCTGTGTATCATTCTCATTCCACATTTTTTGATTTCTTCAATTTTAATTTTAGTACATGATTGATGAAGAATATTTTTCTAGGTTAAAGCGCAAAGTTTGAGTTATCCTTTAGAGGGTTGGATATTGATTTTATCCTGAGGCATACACAAACAAATACTCCACATTAGCGGGAGTTCTTATGTCTCTACACTGAACTCAAACAAGTTAGATAAGCAATGTAACTACGCGAGAAAATGAAGGCCATCAAGACATAAGATATAGCTAAGGATTATGGGAGAATGGTGTAGAACGACGCTAGAGTTAAAAATCAAAACAGATTCCCTATGAAAAGTCTACCAAGTTCACATAAACATCACAGAAGTTAAAAAAAATACTGATATGTACTTGAAGAAAGGATTAAGAAAACATTATTTCAAATAAAACTTAATTAAAAATAGATTCAAACCTACCTTATGTACATATGTTCCTCCTACAGTATCCACAAATCCGATTGTCTGGTCGGGGACATCAGAGTATAGAATTGACTGTTCTCGTAGCTGCCGCAGATGACATTCTGATATAAGCACTAACTGTGAACAAAAAAGAAAATTATGAAATAATTTTGAAGAACTTTATTACAGTAATAAAAAAGATAAGCCAGTGATAATATCCAGTCCTGTACAAGTTTTTGAATAGCTATAAATCCCTTTTAGACACTACTGCCCATTTTTGTATCAGTTTCGAGAATTTATGTTTCCGTCACACCATATTAGGAAATTTCAAGGAATGTACCTAAAACATAATTGCAAAAGTGCCTTGATTATTAAAGTGAGTGGGCATTTGAGTCCCATAATGGTATCTAAAGACATTATAACCCAAGAGTAAAATTTTTGACAATGTATTTTAGAACGAAAAATAGGATACAAAAGATTGGATTTAGCATGAAGCAATCTGGATTGGAGTTAACACTCTACAATTCTACAGTTGTTGAAATTTAGACACTTATCAATTTTTTGTGAAATTTGGAGGAATAACGTTAAATGTTGAATGGCATCTACTGACATCATGGGGTTATTAGATTAAGCTTCAAGCGTGTAACTATTAAGATTAGAGTGGATCTCTGAGCCAGAGAATTAAGAGAAAAATTGGTCTATTAGCAGAAAGGTGGTAGATTAGAACCAGCAATAAATTGTACAGATTCTTTCAAATTATCCCTTTAAAACTAAATTAGCATGTCTACGATGTGAAGTGTAATATACAGTTTGATGACAAATATGGATCTTGCTCAACTTAAATGACATCTATTCTACAAAGCAATTTATACCGTGACATTAAGAAAATGGAAAAAATATTCCAATATCCGATTTGCGAGATATTTTGAAACTGCAACAAGGGCAAATAGAGATAACCAATCCAGTTAATATCGGCAAAATATCAAGAATCTTGGCAATGACCTCTATTCCTATAGTAATTTAGAAAAAATATTGTGATCGTGCTATATGTACTCATTTCACATAAATGATTGGAAAAGCGATTATTGACTTAAAATAAATATTCAGACATTCTTTCAGAAAAGTAGAAAATTTCTTGAAAACCTCAAATTAAAACTGTTGAAATGGTTAAGTCAAAAGCTAGGTTACATAGTTATTAAATGATAGCATTTTCCAATATTCCCTTAGAAATTGCATAATTAATGAGGCTTTAGATCAGAAATCATATGCAAAATGAATCAATAACCCTTAAGAATAGTCAGAAAACAAAGATAATGCTATAATGAAGCCACAAACTAGCCTGAGTTTGAAGTTAAAAGAAAACATTCAAAAATCTATGAATCGGGGAGGAGATGTAACAGTGAGCCCTATACTCCATTAGCAGCCAACCTGTTCCAAAATAACCAAAATACTGTTCCTTTAATTGGGATATTTTCCACGAGAGTAAATATCTAGCAATCCTCAGAGTGGGATCTTATAAACTCTAACTCTGTTTAAACTCAGTTCAAAAATAAACAAAAGCATCATCTGACATTTCATAAATGTCTCTCAAAGTAATATTGTGATGTCACAATGACATCAGTAGGAATTCAGGTTTCAGACATTTGTTACTAAAAACACTTAATCCTTCTCTGGTTTCAAACTATAGACATTGCCCTCAAATTAAAGGTAAACTTTGAGCTCACAACTATAGTTTATAATTAAAAAAACATTCTTCTATAAAACTCACTTGATTTTCTTACGTTTGTACATATATATGATTTTGAATGTTCAGTACAAGTATGAGGATAGACAAGTTCATTAGGTTTCACCAATGAAAAATCGTTTACCTTTTCAATGTTTTGAAAGAGTGTTGCGTGTTCGTGTGGGGAGATTAAACGATGCCGTAAAGGTCTGGAAAATCGTTGGATACCATGCTGCATTGACATCACAAACTCTCGCTCTAGTGTTATTAGATCGTTGATATCTTGCTGTCGCATCCTTTCCTGCTCAGTTAAGTCCTATAATTGAACAGCATGAAAACTTTTATTTCATTTTTAAAAACATTCATAATTCAGTGTCAAGGAATACAAATGGAAAACTGATTTTAAGTGTAATAATCTAGATTGCATCAATATTGTTTTAATGTATCGCTGTAAAAGGAAATGTTTTCTATCTCTTGTATACACAAATTCCTGATGGGAAATGGAAATCAATCAGATTTCAATGTCAAATGAACAGCTAGTTCTGACCAACCTGGTATGCAATCATGATCTGTGGCACCGATGATGTGTTTAAGGCTTCAAGGTTTGGCTCGCTCTGTGTTCTTCTCTCTTCATCCATCAGTTTCTTAGGGGTACCAATAGGTGGCACTGTACTAATCCCAGCGTGCTTTACCATATTTTCTTTACAGTCATCAGCCATTTTGAATTTTTCAATATTTTGGTTGCGGTCTACGTTGTCCATTAATGTAACATGAGGTTCTGGAATATCTGTGACAGTTCTGGCACGTTGGACATCCAAGACAATTTGTTTAGTCGACAGTCTAAATAAAAAAGATGTTCAAAAGTGATATTTCAGTAAAAATAATTGCATTACATATTATCTCAAGTAATACTTCTGAAGGCGTCAAAACAATATTGACTAATACGAAAGCATGATCTATTGATAGCTTGAGGAATTCTATAGGTGTATTTGATCTAGTGCAAGTACCTATACACAAAATCAATTTATTTATTTCGGAATTCCTTAAACTCTTATATAAAACAATACGTAAGAACCTCAGCAGAAATTATGAAACTTAATTTAGTCCATTATTCTAATTTCTTTATAATGTATTACCTGATTATACGAACAATGCTTTCCGCTGATGACCTTGACACATTTTGACCGTTGATTCTCACTAGACAATCTCCTTTCTCCAGGCCTTGCTTGTGGGCTTGGGATCCTAAACATAGAACACAATAAATGATCATTTTTTGTCTTTTTAGATTCAAGGATCTTCCATGAAAAGATAATTATAGCAGCTCTTAATTCTGTTTCGCGTAACATTTCTTATCCATATTATCTTACATCCAATATACTTAAAGAAGAAAAATGGTGAATACTCAGATTGATCTAAATTTAAACAACCATAAAAAATAAATAACAAAAGCGACTCAATAACAACACAGTTTCAATAAGCCAATTATTATCTGTCACATATTACAAATGACACTTGAAAATTCCATATGTGGATGCTAATTGAAATGTCTATTATCATTGCATCAACAGAATTGGAAAAAGTATCAAGTCAATCTCCTGTGAGAAAGTATCTAAAAGCATCGTGTCCTCCGATCTTTTGTGAGTTATGTTATCATATGTGAGCAAGTGAATTACAAATAATTGGAATTATAACTGCATTGTATAAAATACATAACTTGGGAAGTCTATAAATAATGAGTCAACGTAAAATTTGTTAACTATAATTAAGAATATAAGATTGATAGACGGTGAACCATGGTGACCATATAAACAGTTAAGTGTCTCGAAGTGCATCTGTGTTGTAATATATGTTAATTTTCTTGGTAATTATATGACAAGATTTCTCAGGTGTCTCTTGAAAGTATGATGTAAAATTGAATGGTAGCCTGTATATCAATTAAACATCTGAAAGTGTAGCAAACGAGATCCAGTTTCAGAATTTTATTGATTTTTGATAGGCTTGAAATAGCATAGGTAATCCTGTTAAATTGATTGGTTTCAGTAACTTTGTATGGCAGTATTACGATTGTGTGTTATATTCATTGGATGTGAGAACAACATGTTGCCTTTAATCTCAACACACTGAGGTGATATCGGCTGATAGAAGTCACATATAAGTAGTGAAAATAATTTAAAACAACACCTCGAGTGTCAGTTCAATTTTAACTAAAATCAAACTGAATTAACCCGAGGATGCATATATTATACCAAATATCAATATTATACCAATGGAAGAAAATATCTTCCAAGAAATATCTATTTAGCTTGAGTATGTATATTTGATTTGATTGTTATTGTAATGGTCTACTCGTTGTGGTATGTTTATACAGTGTGTTATATGAATTGATTGATCTTCATTGAAGTCAGTCTACTCCTGTTAAAACACACTTTTGCTCAATAAAATTTGATGTAAGCTGATTTTTTTTAATTTTCATACAAATTAGAGTGTGAAGAAAATTGTGTATTCATTTCTTGTCTTTTCCACTCTTTTCCCAGTTGTTCCTGTTGTTACTTTAAATTTCACTTTGACATGTGAGCATCCATGGGTTAAACAACTAGAATCGAAATGTTGTCATATTTTCTTTAGAAATATAGTGTAAACAGTACATACCTTCGTCAACACGCCCTATTCTAACTGGGCTTGAGCCGAGCACTGTAAACCCATAACCCTTCCTGCCTCGACCAATCACAAGCTGGAAAAACAATGATATCATATTACATAACAAAACAACATTGATAACAATAAAGCAGCAAATCAGTCTGAATGAATGAATGATCTGAATTTCAAGTAACTTCACTTAATTGATAAATAAATCTCATGCGCAACAATTCAAAAAAAATTGCAAAATAATCTCATTCCTCTCGTATTAACAGAGACCTATTCAGACCATGCAGTATATTCTCCTGATCTGATGCTTCAATACCCATGGGGGAATGTACAATGGTGTGTAATGATCATACACGTTAGACAGTACTCATGTGTCTGATATTACAACCCAGGCCTTTAACTTCCATAATATCTACCCAGCATGCTTCAGAGAAGGTGCTTATATCCCAGAAGGCTCCATGAGTTATTACCCCATAAGATATATTTCAATTCATAATAAAAAACATGTAAAAATGGGAAAGGTTTAATGACATTGAAATAATATGATAGTGTTGTAGATTTAAATACTATACCCTAATTACATCAATTAATCCGTTTTATTTCAGATACATGAAAAGGGCAAATAAAAATGTATTATCCCAAATGAATCTTGACTGATAAAATCCAGAACTGTAATTAACAGTTAAATAATGGGCTATAGGTTTGCGATGACATTATGGGTTTTATAGACTCAACAAGCTGTTGTGACAAAGAATTGACAAGAGAACACTATCGAATTGAAATATGACTCTCGTTACATTACTAGAGTCATTTGTCATGTCATCGAAATTGTCATCCCAAACTGAGCTTTTCGCATTCATATCAAACACGATTTCTTTATCTTTACAAACTGTAACAATGACATACATTTATTGCATCTCTATATGCGTTCAAAAGAAATTATTGACAGATCTGTATTTCTTGGAATCAATTTTAATTGGTATGAAATCTGGATTAATGTGTTTAATCATGTGGCTATTTAGACAGATAGCAGGTCTATTTGTCATAATACACCATCGAAATTCAATTTAGAATGCCAGAGATTAATGGGACATGGGCGTGTAATTTTTTTGACCTTATATGGCCTCTGGATGTTGATTGAATCAGAAAAAGATTATTCTCAATAACAAAACATACAGCTAAGTGGATGTCTACTTGGAAAACACCTGATGACCAGAACATACACAATTACAGGTGAATTTAGAAATGCTATAATGCTATATACACATTATCGTGTTTGATTCCTTGCAGCATTGGTGATTCGCATGGCGAAAAACAAGTCATCAAATTGAAAAATGACGCACCCAATGATATTGTTTTTAGAGACCATGGGGTAATATATTTCCCGAAGGACTGAGATATCATAACGTATGGCAAGAGCACAATGTGAGTACACGTAGATGTCATTTCTTTCAATCTAATAAGATAGCCATGGATATAAGACAATTACATAGCTACCCACACCACCCAATAAAGAACACTTAATTGCAGAGCAGTACAGTGCCCATGATAGAAACATCATGATGTCCATATTTCAAAATTCAAAGTCACGGGCAAAGAGTAAACCCAGCAAGCAATACAGTTCTTATTATTTAGTCAACACTTCAAAGTGTATGGAAACCCAAGATATTCATTTATTTCAATCAATTTTTAGAGAAAAGAAGTAAGCATGATCAGATATATGTCATCAGGTTAGGAGCAGGATTATAAGTGTTACAAAGACATTAATACACTCTAACAAGGCATGCAAGCAACTCTAGCAAAATGAACATCTTCATTTAACGAGGCCCTAAACTTCTATAGGCACTGGAAAGTGATACCTTTCATCAAAATTATGAATATCCTTTATAGTTTTCCATTTCTGTTAGTGGCCAAAATTATCGACATGAAAATATATCTTAAAACCTGATCGTTGATCTTTCACTGAAATTTATGTCGAGTCAGTGGCTGGTAAAGTAAGCTAAGTGTAAATAGCAATAATTATTGTTCTTAATATATATGGAACAATGTGAGATTTGAATTGTATGATTCAATTTATTGTCTGAGACAAAAAACGCCATAGAAACATGAAATCTGTAGCCATGGTAATTTGCAAAGCTTGAAAGCCTGTTGTTTCAGAAACATTTCGCTCGGTGAAGCGTTTACTTGTATCCTATGTTCACCAAAGCAACCTTTTCAATCCCATGATCATTTATCAAATATTTTATAATACTTGATATTAATTGGCCACTCGAGGTCACGTGATGCATAAAAATTATTATTAAGAGAGTGACAGTGTAAGACTGAAATATGGAAGGGATCAGATATCTGGAAAGAATGATAACCAAGTAGAAACAGAACAACACTAATTGAAATATACTAGATCCTTAACATTATATTTAAATAGAAGAGAAATTCTGATTTTTTTATTTCCTACTAGTTACTGCTAAGTAACGCTTTTAGCTAATCTAAAACTCAATTCCCGTATGAAGCAGAATGATGGCATGTTTCAAAACATATTTCCGTATACATATTACGCACTGCATTTACTTGTTTTCATGGAGAAATGCAGATACGTGTGTATTATATTCATCATCAAAATTAATAAAAAAGTGTTAAAGAACAAGAACTTGTTATTATAAGTGATATGAGACAATCTTGAAGTGATGCAAGAGAATATATAGTGATGCAAGAGAATATATAGAGATGCAAGAGAATACTTAGTGATGCGAAAAATACTTAATGCAAGAAAATACTGAAAGTAATGCAAGATATTTTAAGAGAATATCTAAAGTGATATGTCACATAAAGTCAGATACGTTTGAAATAAGACCTAGAATCTTTAACCTTTAAGATATCTTTCCAGAGCAACTCATTTCGTTAAATTTGTGTGACGAGATGAATTGAATCAAACTGGGCCTAACCAGATCAAAATAAAATCACAATAAATCACTGGTGTGTTAATGATGAGATATTTGACAGTGCCCTATCTAGCTTGGCGTAAAATACTTCTGGTTAGCGTCACATTCCTAATCCCGTGGGTAAATCTGGTAAAACGGAAAGTAAAAATAACCAGATTCTCCTGTCAGTGACATTTGAATGTCATTGATATTTGTTTTATGGCAATTTGTCAATTTGAAGTATAGACAAATTATTGAAATCCTCTTCCTCTGGGGCCAGGAATATATGTCATCTAGATTCTAGTCTGATCTTTGCTTGTATTGGTTTGATGACTAATGGCTAAAATCCTAAAGGCTCGATTAGAGAATGAAGGAGTCCCCAAAGTGGATGATGCTTGCCTGATCGGAGGTTTTATATCATTGAAGGCGCCACTACGAATGTGCCAATAACAACGAAATTGAAACTTGCTTTTTGAATATCATAGAAATAAGTAAATGGATACTTAAGGGAAGGAAAACATTTCACAAAGAAGTAATATAAAACATGTACTTTATAAGGGGACAACAGCCAAGATTAAGATCCTTAAAATGCAAGAACATTTTCAACATTGAGCTTCTCTGTTAGTGAAAGTACAGAATGTTCCTTTAGGTTAGAGAGACCCACTGTCCGATTTCTGTTCTACGAAGGTTGAATAAGCACAGTAGAATCTAAAGAAATGAAAAATCACTCAGATTACGAAATCTGTAGACATGACATGGAGCAATTTCGTTTTACCCAAGTGAATCAATTAATGATAAGCTTATAAGAAAGAATCTCAAATGAATGTAACTGACCTTGAATTATAACAAAGTTGGCCTAAAGGAAAATGAGAAACGTTACGTTGAAATCCTCAAAATTAAATGTCAGCCTGATACTGACTTCTAATATACCAAAACCTGTCAAAATGAACACCTCTACCAAGTGAAAACCTCTACCAAGTGAAAACCTCTGGCAAGAGAACACCTCTGTAAAAGTGAACACCTCCATCAAGTAAACTCCCCTGTTCAAGTAAAACACATCTGTCATGGAAAAATCTCAAAATACTGACCAAAATATTTTCCATTGAGGACCATGTAAAATATAAAATTAATAAACTTACTGTAATTGATTCCATCCACAAGACATCTTTGTTCACTGGTGGTATATTTGAGGGTACTGAAAAACATAAAAAAAATAAATTAATAATAAATTAATAACCCTTCAAAATAAAGACCCTTTCCAGAATTCCAGCCGAGATACTTGGACAAAAACATGTATTAGATGTTTTCATTAACTCATTAACAATTTAATATTCCACGCCAACTTTTCTTTCGATTTCTCATCAGGAATTGCAACATTGGGTCTGGTAAATTAGAATATTGGGTGGATTACCTCACGACTGAATGGCTTGTTAATCAGTTCATCTAAATTCCTATTTATTTCTTGTACATTAATTGTCACAGCTGTTGCTGTAGAATTGTGAAATATGAAATGATGTTTTCATCATGCAAAATGACTTTACGATATAAGATAGCTTTAAATAACAATGACATATCGGTTTGCATGACGCTTGAATTGTGAAATGTGATTGGAGCTATATCTTACACGGTTGCATATCGATCGTATCAAAACAGAAATCTTGCCACGAAAATGTGTGAATCTTGGTAGTTTGGAAAAAGCTTCAATAAATCAATTACATGGCATGACACCATTAGGTGCCTTAAATATTAGATTATAGAGCTTGTCAAATAATTTCCATAATTACTGCAGAGATCCAAGAAAAATCTAGATTTTTTGTTTTCTAAGGAGGGGTACTTTATGAGAATGGGCAAAATGGCTAAAATATGAGGAAAATGTTACATACATTTTCAACTACTGCATGATATATGGCACCATATTAAGACCATAACTGAATATGGTCGCTAGATCTTGTAAGTCATAATAATATCACTGGAATGTACTTTTAGATAATTGATTTCTTCAGAAAAGAGCGTGCGGTTTCTTTTCAGAAGACTATGCACTAAAATAATTGTGTAATATGATCCAAATACAGGATGTTCATGAACGTCTTATGTTCAATATCTGGTGACTGACATGTCTTGTATAAAAAATGTATTGATTGATAACTATGTTGTAGTTTAGGATGTCACGCTCATTAGCATCTGAATGCCATCTCCTGTTTGAGAGGCCTCAATCGCAGGCAATCCACCTAATTGGTATAAAATGTCATGGAATAACAAGAGCCATTGATCACTACAACCTCGCAAATTATCCAACAAACACAGACTTATTCTACGTGTAACCTTCAATAAATCTTCAAAAATAATTGGTGCTAATAACTCAAATTAATGTACATTATCACAGATAATAATTGTTCGTATTTTTTATTCTATTAATATAAGGCGTATGGAGCACATTGGGTAAGGTGTCTGTAGTTTTAATTTTATATGCATCATCCTCATACATCACTGATGATGTCTTGTCTAATAAGGTTTGCCCCTTGACCACACAACCTCAGATTAAATGTCATTTTGAAAGTGCTCATGTTAAAAATGCTAAATACACTTGAATATAATGAATTCTGTAAGGATAAAAACAGCAGACATATCAGAACTATGGATAGTATTATAAATTGTGCAGAAATGCAAAAATGAGACTGTTTAAAAGACAAAGAAGTCTCACATGACAAGAGAAACAATATTTTCACTTTCTTCCTTGGCAATTTTCCCTCTACTTCATGGAATTATGAAAACAGATATAAATCACAGATCTTTTTGTTTGATCTCAGATTTGCCTACATACTATGTCAACAATAGTTTACGAACTTGAAGCAGAGAAGACTGTGAAATACCAATAATGTAATAAACTTAATTAATCTGCCCATTTATAGTCTACTTTAAAAGAAAACCTCAACATTTCTTCAAACACTAGTGCAATTAGTACAACAGATTTATGTTTCACACAAGACACATATAGCATGATTTTTCCAAAAATAATAATCTCGAGAAAAAAATTACTGAGACAGTTATAGTATTCACATTTAAATAGATCAATTCAAAAAGTGAAAAGAAAAACTATATCGGGAATTAATAATGTTATAAATAGATGAGTTTGTATATTGGAAAAGTTTGCAATTGTGAGAACAAAGTTCTCTCTCATAGCCCTATTACTACTTGGAAAGCATGATGGGGATTTGATGACATTCGCCCGTGTTCTCCCATAGCCCTGCTGTACTTATCCTTACGGGAGATTTACTATGGTCAAAAGAGTTAACAATATTCTTGAAAATAATCAGAAAAGCTGGTTAATTAGAATATATTTCCCTCTTGTCAGGGGTGTTAACTTCACATTTGTTCATCCTATATGTGTTATTAGTCACCTTCACATGGAACAATTTCCAGTGAAACCACAAGGGCTTGGATAATTTTCTAAAAGGGTAATAATTCCTAGCCATGGAGTAGATAAAACCTGCAAAGTGGCTCATTCAAGGTTAAATGATGAAAATTACAAACATGTGAAATTATTGCGATTCTGATATTTTTGATATGATTACTACCACGTAAATATCAGCTGGTATTAGTTTCCCAAAAGTGAAAAATTGGAAATATATGTGTATCACATACATGTGTATCCATACAATAGATCCATTAGAGTTACAATGATCTTTAAATACCTTTTTTCTGTGGAAGTGGTGGCTGAGTTGGAACTGTTGTTTCTGTCGCACGTAGATGTTTCTTGCGTCCTATATCCTCTGTCAGTAAGTAGTACCAGCCAGTGATTGTCTGTAAACAGATAACTACACTTTAAAACGAAATCCCATTTTTTTGTTTCTCGCGTCTATTAATTTCCATTCATTCAAGTTAAGAGGAATATTGACTGAATAAGAAATATGAAATTAAAATTACAAGTTTGATTTCCAATTACCAGCGTAAACAAGTATTCCACTAGATTACTTACGATAATTGCTTTATAATATGATTGTATTTGTATAGATGACCTCAGTGTTCATCATATTTGCATTAATACCTATATTTACTCACTTGACCAGGCAGACTCTATAACATCTGATCGAACTAGCACAATATAAGGAGGAAATGAATATGTACCTAATCGCAATGTTTTAATATAAGATACCTTTCAGAACAATAACACAATACTAAAATCACCTTGAAAATTCTATTATTATTTTCATACATAATCCATCACATGTCTTACAATATAATACCAAATTCATCATATTTTCACGTAGACTCAGATTCTCCCGAGACAGATACAAATAGCTTGGCGTGACTGATCGACCAATCAATTCTCTGCCAATTCTATGGGGGATTACGTTATGACACTCCCAGCGATGCTTGCAAAACGCTAGTACAAATAATAACAAATAAGTCACAATGATCTAAAATTGAAATATAAAGTCTTGGGGAATATGTCACGGTATTATAAAATTGAAATTTAGAGTCTCAGGGGTAAGGAGCACTGTAGAGAATTCTTTTTACTTTATTACGAGATCTTGAGTTTAGGATGAATATATTTTACTTACTCTGCTTGTGGCCAAGAGATGCTTCAGCCCAAATGACATACAACCAAGGAACTCACTGCGTCTGAAAAATACAAGGAAATGATAAATAGTTTCATCACATATTGTACAGTGAACACTGATACAATCCTTCATCCAATTTTAGAGAGGATAATATCTCCTTTGAAATCAATCAGATGAATCAGAGAAACTCAAGAACATAACAAATGCTACTGATTACTCCAAATTGCCATCCAGGAAAAAAACCTCCATCAAAAATGTTCTTCATGTCTATCATAACTTCCATTCTCTAGTACCATATAATATGTACAAGTGTGTATGTCAGTCAAGCTCGAGATTTTGTGACTAATTTTGTGACGCTTGAACAATTTTTAGCTGGTTCTACACACCTCATTAACAATATAATTGTTTTACTTGTAATTCCAGAAATAACAGAAAAACTAGTTATCTTATTGTCAATTCATTGTGCGTTATGACCTACAGCAAATTTCTAAATTAACTGATTTAATAATATCAAAATAATCATATTTTCTACCCATACAATCTAATAAATTCATGATTGTAGATTCAACAAAATCCCCAATGGACTACACCCTCCCCATACTATCCTATAAAATGGCCATCCTTAAGCACAGGGCAGGGAGAGGAAATGCTATTGGGGGGGACATAGGGAATTAAAACAAAGAAACATGAAACAATGAAACTATATATTAAATCAATTGATTCAAATATATCGATCAATTGAAACTATAACACAGATGTTGATAAATAAAGTCTAATATTGATATTAAGGTTATTTTTAAATCAACAAAACAAAACTAAAAATAAACATGATCAATCAAATCATCCACTGGACTTATATACTACAGTGTATCGATATTTCCATGATAAGGGAAAGAGAAAACATTGAACATAAGCATGACTAGAAATATCCATAACATGATGTTTTAAAATGCAAAATTTGGTAAAAACGAATGAAAAAAGTTCAAAATAATATATATCTACATGAAGCCAACATGCTAAATTGTATAGAAATGCTAAAAAATTTTTACAAGAAATATTGTATCAAATGATGATTATAACCAGAGTCGCTTGAATCAATGACATCGAAGAACATGTACATGTTTTAACTGCAGTATGCCCATTAATCCTCTTATAACTGGTAGAGACATGGATAAGTCAGGTAGCTCATAAAAAATTCATCAGCATCCTTTTTATGAGTTCACAAAGAAGTAATGCGAGATATTACATGAGCAAACCCTTCCTAATCCAAAGATAACGTTATATTCAGTAACCATTAACAATCAGCCCACTCATCATTCACCTGTTCATATTCAAACAACTTTCAGTACAATAACCCACGTCGTCTCCAAATCAGCATGTAAGCTTAACATAACAAGTGACCAACAACCAGCACATGTTAATAAAATCTCGGAAAGGGAATATATAATGAGAAATTATCGTAACACGAACATCACCATTATAAGCACTATAATGTACCATAGTTCGTGCTAATCATATTGTGATATTGTCGTCAACTCGATTGTGAAGAATTAATACAGAAAGATTCACATTAATCCATTCCCTTACAAACATTCATTAGACACAACCTTAACAAGATTTCCCAGTGAAAAATAATGAGTTGCAGAAATCGTATTAGAAGTTAAACAACATTGCCTGCAAATGCGCTATAAAAAACATACCTTCTCTTGACGGAGTGTGAACTTTAACAGATGGGGAAGATTTAATGAGTACTCGTGCAGTAGTTACATAACCTTCAATAAAGTCATTCACTGAATGAAGAACTTCTTGTGTCGAACGCCGTGTTAAGAGTTTTTTTCTCAGAAACAATTTAATGAGATAAAAAATTGCATTAGAGATTGTACATTGTATATCTATAGGGAATTCCCGCAAAGACTTTTCACTATAGTACATCATTTAGAAATGTGCTAATGGTTTACATCCACGTTAAATACCTTTCCAGTCCCAGACGGAATTGAACAAACACATGGATCTCGTGTAGAAGATAATTCTTGTATTTTAATTCCATTGAAGGTCAATGCAATGAAGGTCATTCCAATAACCATGTACATGTATTACTAAAATGAATACTGCATATATTGTCTTAGATCTGAAGCAAGCACAATATGATAAGACAAATCAGGCATCTTGTTGTCATAGAGAATCAGCGTCAACATGCCTCAACTTTCCATATAGTCATGCAAAATATACACTTTTTCTCTGTAAAATCTGAATAACCTGTATAGCTTTCTTGCATTTCTATATAATTTAGAGTATCGAAAACATACCTATTTTCTTCATTCCTTGCTGATTCCACTCTTTTTCACTCTATTTTCTATTTTAAAACATGACCACTTATATTTTACGGGTTAACATTCAATGTGGCAAGAATATATAATTTGATCATATCACGGTAAAATGGTATTTTACATACATGAGTAGAGAAGTTTAAAAAAAGAAAGCAAATGAACAATATATAAAATTTTTGTATAATTGAACTTTGTTCAAAGATTAATTTATCATAATTTCATTAGAAATCTGATTGCTTAATTTTCCTTTTGTATTTAACATGCTACACCACACTGTCAAGGAATCTTTTCAAAAGATTCCACACACTTAATTTATCCCAAAATTCATGATGCATATCTTCAAAAGAAGCGAATTTAAATAAATGAAATAGTACTAATGAAATAAGTGAACTAGCTCCGAGCGTCTGATTAAATAAATGACCTTACACTGATTAAATACAAACTCGGGCTTTCTGTTGTTTCATTGATTAAATCCCGATAAGACCAACGTATTACCTCTTCATCACATTAGCCATGAAAAAATAATTAACAACTGGTCGCAATGTGATAAAAACAGAAAATCCATAATACTCAAGATAATTAAAAATGAGATTTCCACCAATCCATTCATACACTGAAGATTTTGTACATGAGTTTAATAAGATACATAAATGGTAAGAGAACAATGCAAGATAACACTGTCTATTTAGCAGCTAAAAATACTTTTCCGTTGGATTGAAAAAATAGGCTTTGAGTTAAATAATTGATAAATAACACTACTTACTCTTTTTTAATGTCTCTGTGCCAGATTGATATCAGCAATCGTTTTTTCTTGTCTCCGTCCAGTAGCTCACTTAAAAAATAAAACGTTTCATCTAGTTATTTCCAAAGTAGTGTACAATAGCCGTAATCAATAATATGTCGACCATGGTAAAATATTTGATTTGTAGCTGCTGTAGAACAAGACTGCAGTATGGTACAAGCAGTGACATCTATAGATGGTGGTGAAAAAGAAAAACATATTTGGATCAAAATACTATCAAATGTTAATAACTGTCCATATTTTGTGACATTTATCATATTTATATTACTGACTGACAAGACATGTCATATCATTTATGACATCAATAATTCATAAAAGAATGACAGTGGATCAACTGAATTCAGATGTTCTATGAAATTAATGATTATGGTCTTGCTTTGTGCGACTTTAACTCCCTGAAAGCCCCACTTACACCCCACAAGTTCATCAGGCAGAGTAGATGGCTCGATAGGGTAGGGTCAAGTCAGACTTGAAAGACTCAAAAGACTATAATGGATACTTACAAAGAGAACTTCTCGTCATATACTGGGTTGTTAGTCTCGTAGACCATCTCTGTTTTACAATGTGTTCTTTTGGCATCATCAGGGTACAGCGACATCTTTATATAAGAATCGCATTGACTTTTTGTTTTGTTTGTTAGGCCACGAGCTTGGACAACTGAAACAGAAAATAAGTAAGACTTGTTTAAATTTTGATTTGATTTATCAATCATTTCACGTTGATTGTGTTTTATAAAACAGATTAACTATTTACAACTGTAACCATAGTAATATATTGTAAACAAACCTGGAAAAAGCTCTTTTAAACAATTCCTCAATTTTCTGTTCAATTATTTATTACTTGTGAAATGGCTCACAAAGGAGCAATACACTAATAAAAATGAACCGTTGAGACATTATAATGAACCTAGAGACAATGTAATCTTTATAACGACTAATTCAAATTGAAAAGTGAAATCACGTTGACTCCTCTTCCTGTCAGGCATAACTCAAAAAAGTCCTTGACAATGACACAGCTCAGCTCAAATTATTAAGATAAAGCTACAAGTAGACAGTATTTGTCTTGAAGACATAATTAAGGCATCTTAAGTATCTAAGATACAAGCTATTTTCTTGTAAGACTCTTGCAAATTTCTATAAGAAGCTACTATTATTACCCAAAGCCTTGATTGTAATTTACTTGTCTTACAGATATCAGAGTTCTGAGAAAATATAAAATTGGGAAAAACAAGACAGCGATCTTTCTTGAAGACATTTATTGCCAATTTCTGTTAGTACTTAAAGGGCATGTAATGTACTCATGATATCTTACTACATCGTAATCAGAATTCTGTAGCGTCTTAGATTTACTTATAAACTAAAATTTGGCCAATTACTGATTCTGATTATTGATGGGTCAAACACTAAGAGGTAATGTGACTATTTATTCGATTAAGATAGGCAATTGAAGATCGGGATTGGCCTCATTTGATCAAGAAGTTATTACCCAAGACATCCAATTTCAGATACTGTAGTTTTCATGAGAGATTTTACATCTGAGGAATTTGGAACTGATAAGTGGTGTCCAAGATAATGGAGAAAATATTCAGATTTATTGACCTGATTCAAGTATTGTATTGACCCCGTTCAACAGTAGTACATTGTTGTTGTTCACATTCAAGTACACATTCAAGTATTTATTAACATGGATTAAAGGCACTCTGACTTATATAATATAGAATATAAAGTTTGGGGTCAATTCTTGATCCAAAACATGGTTATATCATATATGACCAAATGAACAACCCAAATTTTATCCAACATCTTAGTTTGTATCATAAATACTATGTTAACAAGAACCTTCTAGCATGTTGTTCAAAACAAGGTGAGATGTCACATTTACAGACCAATGTGTGACTATCACTGAGTCCCAGCATCCTAATAGGGATGACACATGTTGATGCTTTTTTAACGAAAACAAATCAGTATGAATCATGCAAATGATGTAAATATCCCAACTGATAAGACACTTAACTTGCAGGGGGCACTGCTGGGATTTGATGCAAAGCGTGACTTAAACCATATGAAGCTCACTTTTAAAACACTACTTAATCCAATTTGAAAAAATGAGCAAATGTTTGAATTCTCAATCAAAAAGACTGTATAGGTGAAAGAAATGGTGCCGTGTTTTGGACTTCATACTGGGGTTCTCCAGAGAGTGATGGCATCGTGACAGTCACTAATACCTAATTAGCCCATTAAAAAATACATATACAAATGAGCAATTGTTTTAATTATCAATCAACAAGACTTGGGAGACAAAAAATGGTTCAATATTTTGGACCTCCAACTGCGTGGTCACAGAAGATTAACACTTTGCATGTGGCACATGTGGAGAGACCATGACTTTAGCAATATGACCACTAATCAAACACCAGGGGCTAGGTAACCTTGGTGGTTGGAGTAGGGATGGGGGAAATTAGTCAATTGAGGACTCAATGGCCAATATTGATGAGATGCTTCGATAAAACTGACAGCCACAATAACAAAAAAGGATTTCTTACATGAAAATACTCCATTTTTCTATGGTAATATATCAAAGATGTTGCAAGCCACAAATGTAAGCTTGAAAATGAAACTGAAGATTGTGTGCCCATTGGGGAAATCAACAAATGGTACTACATCCCACGTGGACTCCAAAAGACATGATTTTCTATAGGGCATTAATCAAAATTGTAATCAATAACTAGAAAATTGATTCCAACATTTACATTTAGTATCTATGTCTAAACTGATATTCCGAAAACACGATACTATATGAAGCTAGCTAACTTTCCATTTGAAACTACAATTTTCTTTCTGTTAAGTACCCCAAGGTGCAACATTTAGAAACACAAGGTGAATTTTGACTTACTGTGTATGGTTAGCAGACCGCAGTTCATGTAAACTGACAGCTTCAATTGACCTACAAATACATATTTAATATAAGAATGATAAAGTAAACAATATAATAATCTGTTGTTAGTAAAAAATAGTTCTGTCTGATATAAAGTGTAAATTATAATTATGTGAATTTTGCAATATCTGTGAAGTATACAATATGAAAATGCTAATATACACGTATGACAGTTATGATATTCAGAAAAAGTTTTGTATTCAACTTGAAATATAATAAAAAACAACAAAAAAACCTAGAACAATTTGAAACATCAGTAAATTAGACAAACAAGGAAATAAAAACCTTATTTAAACATCAATCATAGATCTTAGGAAATCACAATACAAAGTAACGATAATTACCATTTCATCATGGTTTATTATACATGTTTAAACAAATATTTTTTTTGTATGTTTGAAGTCCCAGACAGACTGTCTTGAGACTCAGGATGTTACATTGATTATTCAAATTACATTTCCCATTCATGATAAGAGAAAATTAAGAACACTTTCATATGTTTCAAAAATCTATTTCTTATTCTGGAGAGGAAATGATGAGAGAATAATCCCGCATTGTGCCCTTGTGATCCCAATAAGCCCCCCTAGCCTTAGATCTATAGTTCTGAAAGTGAAATAAAGGAGGGGAGGGGGGTTGGATATGATCGAGGCAAGTTTTACCTGTATTTACCTGTTCTACCTGTAATCAGGTGACAAGGAGGATACAGGATATGCAAATAGACCTGCGTTAATTAAATGATAATTTCAACCATTTTATCTATTCAACAAATGAGAGTTTTAAATGTGTAATCCTTTCATATCTTTGGAAGTGTCACAATCAATCTAAACCGAGGAAATACTTTCACTAAAATGGGCGAAACACTTTCTGGTTTACCAGTCCCTCTTTTTTAAATGCATGAGAAAAAAGCAGAGGCTGTGGGCACCATAATAGGCATGATAGAACATTATAATTTTTCATATTAAATCAATTTTCAAACAATAACAGTGCACATTTATGACCATTATATTGCATGGCAATCCATAACTCTGCAAAACTAATATACTAATGACTTAAAATGATAGAGCTATACTGAAAGGGTTAAACCCTACCTGTATATTATTCATTGCTAAATGGCTTGTTACTGCTTATCTTTTGCTATCAAGCTTTGCACAGATGGCATTTGTTTCAATTTAAGTTTCATAATTGCAATAACTACTTGTAATTTAATATGGGGAAATGCACTACAATACACTCTCGCTGATTGTCTGTTGGTTTGATACTCATATACTGTATCTATCTCCCCCTGATCTCATTTACTTTCCCTTATATCTATATTTAATGTACATTCTCCAAATCAGTATCCAAATTAAAAGATTAATCCTTGTTTAATTATTAATCATAGTTCTATAATTTGAGTAATTTAATGAAGAATCGATAAACATTCCCATAGAAACCAAACACAAGAAACAATCCATGTTGAAACCCTTATCAAAACTGTCAGAGAAAACCTACCACACCTGTCCTTAATATAACCTATTGTGACAACAACAAACAGTGTAATAGTTTAATTCTTTTTAAAATGTTGTTCTCATGATCCATATTCACAATTCAAAGCTTTTAATATAGTCAATAAATACTAAACCTATAAGGAAACATAATCTGGGATATTGAGACTGAGAAATCAAAATTTTGTTTTTCGAGTAACAAATGATTCATTCACCAAATCTGGATACGAGCAAGATATTTGTAATAGATATAGAGATTTATGATACTTTTTTCATTATTCACTAACTTTGATCAAGCATGTGGAATCAGAAGTCATAATAACTTTTCTGATAAAATGAAATTAGTTCAATATAGAGGAAAGTTTCATTTAGTTAGATTGCCTCTAGAAAGAACAGATGCCTTGGTCTTAACAGATGGTAGACAACAAATTGTGAAATGGAAAATTCTGTATGACCCTAATATCAACAATTTTATACACCTATAGAAATCCATGTAAAGAATTTTGTAGGAATATGTTTACTCTAACTGTTATTTGGGAAATGGGGAATTATATGCCCAGTTTACTTCAAATATTCACTTCAAATTTAATACATTTGAGCATGACCTTCTGTTGAGAAGTTATATACCATACCTCTAAATGATTGCACCATTGCAGTCCGTGTCCTGCTCTCCTTATAAGCAACAGTTGAATTTTGGCGGTCTGCGAATAGCATACAAGGCATAGTGTTATTGTTGCGCATGGAAAGTATATTACGATTTTGATGATATATCTCGTCTTCTGACGATGAATCTAAGGAGTCCCTAGAATGGGCAGGTCTTCGCAGTGAACACAGGGGTATGTCAATTGAAGACCCTCTATGAGAGTAACCAGCAGATCCTGAGTGTGATGTGCATTCGGAACTTGATGACGTATCAGTTGTGACGCCGTTCCATATTTTATCCATATACATGGTGTGTTATGACAGTCCAAATCATGTAGTATAGAATCCCTATATGTATCAATCGAACCAAATACAAATGTCTTGTAAATCTTCTATAGTGTCTTAGCAGAGCAAATAACCAGGAGTCTTTAATGAAGATGTGTAGAGGTCAGACCTTAAGCATGTGATACTAACCAAACATTGCTTTCGCACCTCTCATCAGTTAAGATAACATGGGTTATAGATACCTCTTGGAGTCTGGAAAATGTCTAAGTTCTGGTCCCAGCTAGTACCTATTAGTCACTTAGGAGCAATGTTCCGCTAATTTCTCAGGATCGAATTTCATGTGACTACTTTCTCATATCTCTCTTGATCTTATTTTAAATGTGTATAATCTTCTAGCTCTACTGGTTCCAAATCCCGCCTGGTTCGTTTGTAGAATTATCGGCCAAGTTCTCACCAAATCGTGAATAGATATAGATCGTTTGTTGAGATATTGATGCTATTGAAGATACAAGTACCCAAGAGAATGATATCTGCAATAGTGTTTTAATTAGCTAGTATTAATCTCGAGATCCCTTGATCATTCAACTACTGTCTTTCAATCTTCACCTAGTTATCTCTCAAACTGAAGTTGGTACCTATTAAACTGCTATAATCAATCAGTTCAAAGTATTCCCTCCTTATATAATCTAGTGGAAAACCAATCGGCCAATCGTTAAAGTCCAATTGTTGATTCAAGTGAAGCTATGTCTTCTATTCAATAATATATAATAATATAATGGTATGTTGAATATAGGCTTGCACCTGCCTTTGTGTTTATTATAGACTTAGTCCTGATTCTGTATATATTTGTAAATCCAGGTTGAAAGTAGGTATTGATGTTTACATCATGCGATATACATGTATAGCTATTTACAGTATAAACATGATAAACCAATCCCAGAAAATCCTGAATCCAAGCTTTCTGCTTTCCTTTCACTAGTGTACTTGTCGATAATGGCTGTATTGTGGTGGATGTTTACCAATATACTGCCAATCCAGGAGATTTTATGATCACTTGATTCGATGAATGCTGATTGCAGTGTTTCTTCTATCTAATATACAGCTCAAATATTGCTCTCCGCTTTGATTGCTATATGCAGAACAAGCTGTTTCAAAATTACCGCTGAGGTGAGGTATTAACCAATCAGAAGTAGTCCATGACAGATGTTTAGTATACGGCACACGCCAGTTATTCTCTCTGAGCTCTTAATGTATTGTGTTCTAGTTCAACACTATTTGAATAGAATTCTTGAGGCACACTTTTGTCTTTGCAATCAGGATAATTTATACCAATCAATTAACCCTTAACTGCCAAAGGTATTAAAACTTAAGTCGCAGTTCCTGAAATTGGATTGGTTTTTGAATTTTTATAGCAGACTTTTTAACTAAATTTTTTCCAGTTTATTTTCCTCTTAGATATTGGTGTTTTGTACCTAGAATTTGAAATAAAATGAAGAAATTCCAATGAAGAAATAGTTTAAATGAACTATCAGCAAGTTGAGGGTTAAGACAAATGTAATGAATATTCAATATTGATGTCTCCTGTCATAAGGCACTGTCAATCAGATTCTTAATGGCTAATATTGCTCTAGTCACTTCTGGCAGTTGAGTGTGCGGATAAATTTCTAAATCCCTTTTAATCCATTTACATATCACTTTCAGTTCAAAAATAACATGCTGCCTGAAATGTTATCTTAGAGAATTACTTAACAATACATTTTAAAGAAACTTGCAATTATTTGCATTGACCCATAGAAATATATGCCAATATAGGCTTAAATCGGACAATAGTTAGGACAACATGCAGACATATTTGGCAACTGCCATGTGTCTTTGATTAACATTTTTGAATTTCCTCTGTAATTACACATAACTTTACATAAGCTTAGAATTATTTATTCAAAGTGGATGTAATTATTTGTAATTGTGTCATAAGTGTGCCAGTTGATCCATTAGCTCCGTCAAATATTTGATATTAAGTAAACTATTTCTTTAAAACATGTAAACCTTTGAATCAAGCTGTTGAATCGTGTTGACTTACGTAAGACTCGCTTAATGAAATGCCTCGTTATAAACACTTGTTGCGTACTAGGGACCTTCCCTCTATTCTGTGCATATATGGAAAGTTTACAATCAAAGAACAATTTTAGAGTTAAGTGTCAAGGAACAATATGTACTGAATCGGGATTTGGGAATAAACGATGCATTAATGTGTTAAAACACGCTTGCATGACAAGATTGTTATTTATACACTGTATACACCATCCATGCTTTCTGAAATGTCAATTTAATTTCAAATCTCATTGAGATAAAAATATGGCATGTGGATTCATTCTTAAACAAGAAACATTCAAAAGGATTTTTTCCCACATTTTACAAACTCTCAAACTCGGCAGGAAACCTGTTCAGATTTTTCTTGAGTTAATCAGAATTAGCAATTTTGCAAACTTTCCTACCCCCTCCATGTTGTTTTCCTGACCCGGCTACGAGGTACAGTTCTTCGGTGTAATCGTTCAACAGTAAAAGGCTAATACATTATGGATGGTCATTCTTAATTAGTTTAACGAGATTATAATTGATCAATATATCTATAAGATGCTGGTTGGTCAACTTTTTGTCTGAAAACAACAAACTAATTTAGAAATTCTCCAAACTTGTTTTAAGTAACTTTCAAAGTTTGCTGTTTAATTAATTAAATTAAATTTTTGACGAACGAAGACAACAGATTTGTGAAGTGCAAAATTAAATGTCAAAGTGTATTGATTTTAGAAATGATCTTGCTGTGAAGTGTTAAATTAGATGAAGTAGCAGATATACTACTAATTTGAATAAGATTCAATTTGAATTGAGTGTGTTTCTTAACCACATCTTACAGTTAAAGCCTCAGGAGATTTCAAAAATACCACACATCGAAATTTTAGTAAACCATGAAGAACCTTTGATTTATATGCTTGTTTTCTTCACGTCAACGATACAGAATTTATCATCGATTTGTGACCAATGATTTCAAATTATAATATCGGATACCAATAAACGACAGTGCCATTTGAAAGTTCATTACATTTGTGTTAACCGTTTTTGAGACAACTCCTTCTTAAAGATAATTACTTTCAATCCTAGTAATAGCAATATCTCTATTAATCCTGTTGTCTCTGTTGAATCCTTTCCTGGTGTCAATACTTTTGAACTTTGTGTCGATATCAAAACAGCTGAAGATATTCCAAGTTTCAAAATGTCATTCCCAACTAATTGTTACATGTGTTTATAATGTCATCCAAAACACACATGTAAGTACATGTACTCCTTGTTTCTTTGATGTTTATGCTTTGATTTTTACAGTTGAACAGATCGTTTATCCGGTAAACCACTATATTGCTGTTATAGTTTATTTTCGTAAAACAACTGAACTATGCAATGTTGATCATGTAACTGGTTCACTATGTCAGCATACCAGATGTAACTGTTTAAAGTAGTTGGAGGCCAATTATCTCTTGCATGTCAAAAATGATTAACACTTCTAATCTATGTGTCAAAGTTTGTCAAAAATAAGTTTGCATGTTTGGTCAGTCTCTTTGAAAGAATCCCATTATTTCAAGGTTGTGAATTTCCCCTGTGGTGTTTCCAAACTGCTGTTTATACTTTCACAACCTTATCTTCTTATTTTGATCTATTATCTTCCAACAATTTTATCCAAAGTCAATTTTTTGCTTTTGGTTTTAACTAACTAGCTGTGTAAGTACTATGATATCAAAGGTTGATTTCTTTTTTGATTTGAATGTCTAGTTTGTCAGTTTCTTTTTTAAATTTTAAAATGTTTTGATCTTTTCAAATTCTACTTTTTAAAATGTTTTGATCGCCTCAAATCGTGTTTAAAATATATTCATCACATGTTACAGTTAGTAAATACTAGGTGTTTCTTTAAGATATCAATTATAAAGGAAGTCTTAACTATAAGGGGCGTTATAATGTTTCAGTGAGGTCAAACTTTTTTTGCCAATTTGATAGACAAATATCAAGCAAATATTGAAAAGATATATCAAAACATGACAATTTACATAGAGTTCAGTATTTGTATAATTGAATACATTTTCAAATAGAGAACAAAACTTTGACTTTTATGAAACCGTTTGACCCTCCCAAACTTCACTAATCACCATAATTTCATATTGATATAGAGACAAGTGACCTTACTCCCCGGGCATGTGCCATTCACCACAATAGGTAAATACAAGTTAGTTGCGTAAGCTTGACCCATGGGCTCTGTAGCTTACATATGAAATTCAAGGTATTACACATTCAAACTTAGAATAAAGTTTCATTGGAGTCTTATTAAAATGTCTAATAAAAGATGAAATGATAATTGATATAAGAAGAATTGAAGTAAACAAACAAACAACAAACACAAACTCTAAATAAGACATAAAGAAAATCCACAATTCAATCCAATTTTAGAGAATAAGGAGGATGTAACTGAAACTTTAAGCACAGATTTATTTTGGGCAACTAAAAAGATCAATATCTATGTCTAATAATTAGAGGGTGCTGGTGATAACCAATTCCTGAGGTTAAAATCTCAGTAATTTGTAGGCAAGTATGGTTACATAGTGTGGGATTGGGATAATAGTTGATCAATAAAGAATATATAAAAAAATATTTGCGGTTCGGTTTGGAGAAATTCTAAATACCAAATATTACAATGAACTTATTCAGCACTTTGAAAACTGTATAAACAGCATCTATATATAAAATAAACATACATTTTTTCTTAACACTAGGCAAAGACCAAGAACAGTTCAGAAAACTGTAGAAATCATCTGGTTTTGTCAACAGAAGTCAACTGAATGTCAATACCTGGTTCTAATTAAGAAATGAAGAAATGCAAGGATGCAGCACATTAATTAAACTTTATGCATAAATAAGTGTTAATTAAAGCGATTATAATCCAGAGCAATTAAAGAGATATCAAGCCACCAGTTAGTCAATACTAATTTGGAGAGAGGGGTTTAAATGTTAATTAATCAAATACAAGGCCTTCCTTACACATTCCAGGTGGAACATAAAACCGCAATTCAAGATTTAAATTCAAAAGACGTTTTCTTTGCAAATTTATCGTTCCTTCATTTAGTAATTAGTGTTAAGAAATGGCCATGAAGCTAATTGCTAATTACAGAAATTATAATTTAATGGTTTATATCTAGGGGCAACAAAATCATCAACGTCCTTAATTTTTTATTTATATCTATAGGGGGCAGTGTTAAAATTATGCAAATCAGGATAGCGCTTTTATCTGCATCATTAAATCTAAAAATGAAATCAAACCTGAATCATAACTTTGCTTCTAATTAAACATATTATTCTAATCTTGAGGTAATGTTCAACAAAATCTAGGTCACATTTCTAATATTCTTTTTTGAGGCCAATTTGAATAAGTTGAATAAATACATGTAATAAACAGAAGGCAATCTGTCAAATCCTGTACCAGGAAGAACCTTAGAAAAACTTCTGCCTTTTGGGCACAGGCATAAAAATGCCCATTTATGATAATTAATATAAATTGATTAAATTAATCTAATTAAGGTCAATGTGAGGGGTAATCATTTTTTAATTTGTATTGAATTCTCCAGATGCTGAACTTTCTACAATTGTCATATCTACAACTGTCAATTAACAATAAAAGTCTTAATTTATTTGTATATGTATACAGACAATAAACATGAATCAAATCAACAAAATCAATACTGATACCTTCAAATATATAAATTGAAATACAATATGCAAAATTATCTTTTCCAAACTTAACTGATCATTCTGTGCTGTTCTTATTGGTCTTTGTGGGTACCAGGTGAATTACTCGTGAATTACTGGGCTCAAGTGATGAAACTGTAACAAGACCTAATGAACAATTTCTGTTAAAAGGTTAACTCCATAATTCATTTTCCCATTTGCTCAGAGCATAATAACTATGATTTATTATCGATTCTTATCAGAATAAGAATTCGTTAAGAAAATATTTTTGAATTTTCACTTTTAAAACTTTGAAAGTTATGACTCATGAATATTTGATTAGGTGACTTCGAGTCTCAGATATTTCCACAGAAATAAATAGAAATAAAACAAAAATAAACCAAACAGCAATAGAACATTTATATTTATACAGATTTGACTCTAAAACCTGGTCTAATATGTATATTTCTACAAATTCCTCTAAATTTCATGCTTTTATTGCATATTTCTTATCGTTTCCATGCATTTTTGAAAGGGAGAGTAGATTGTTCTTTCTGCACCTGGCAACCAAACATGCAAAGACAAGTTTGATGTTCCAAGAAGAGATAATATTCATTTATTTATTCTAAATATCTTTTATATATGGTGTCAGTTTTAATTATCTATTTCACATAAAAAACTTTGAATCACTAAGGATGAGCAACAATGAACAAGAGAAAAGAGCCAACAGGAATATTAATTAGAAGAAAAACAGATGTTTTACCTTAGAAAACAATATTTCAATTTTTCTATAATCTTACATTTTAAATGACCCATTTGAACCCCGAAATAGCTTTTAATGATACTTGACATTTGTATTATGAAAATGTAAATGCTAACTGTTTATAGACGGTGCCTTTATTTCAATTTTCAATATCGATGATAGGATGATAGGTTTTATTCAAATATGAAATGTTATACAGCCAAAAGGGCCCACCTTTTAGATTTTATCAGAGAACAATAAAGAACATCTTCATTCTGGTAAAAGATTCATAAGACATAAAATGAAAGTCAAAGAACCATATAAATCTATGTGTTTATTTAATTGGTCATGTTTTAACTATCCACCCCTGGCTCTTTCACAGCAACCCACAAAAAAACAAAAATATCTTTTTTTACAACCAATCATCAGTATCAAAATTCATGCAACATTGAAATCACCCAAGGGTTGTTATGCCTACTGATTAAGGAGGTTGATTAACATTTCTTTCATGGTAATTAGGATTCGATATTGGATTAAACTAAATGGGAGGTTTTCATGTCATCAATTTCCAAAATCTATAGTTTTTATGCACCAGTGTAAGCCTAACGGTACAGGACAACTCCTTTGATGAAATATTTTTCATAAATAATCCATTTGTCTTTGACTGACTTCTATTGGTAAGAACAATCATGAACCATGATTCCATTCAATAAAATCACCCATCTATCCTAATACATTTAATTTAATATAAAGCATATTTTCATTTTTTTCCAGACAGGACAATAAAAGCCGGTATTAAGAGCTACTTAAAAAATGATAAAATAACTCACAGAGGCAGGTGGTGTGAAGAAATTTTTTGAAAATTTTTATAACGTTGTAACGACCACTTGTTGAGTTCTCCACAAAACTAGCAAGTATTGTCAAATTATAGAAAAGTCAGAATGAGCTAAAAAACATCGAACATGAAAATCAAAAACATGTAAAGCTTTAGGGGTTCAGGGTAGATTTACTAGATTATTACAATTAACAGCATGTCTGAGACTCATTACATTTTTTTATTTTTAGATTTATTATCTATTTTTCCCTTTCTGTCAACAATTTATTTTTTGTTAGGATTTTTTGACCATCATCTCTGGCAAAATACATCATTGAATATACATTTTGCACCTGACCATTTCATGCTGACAAAAAAGATGAATTTATCATTTATTTTACTCAAGTTTTTTATATATCTTAAGTGGTTTTCCAAATAAACCTTCACACTTGACGTTTTCTAACAATATTGCGCAGTCAAATAGTCAAGGCAAATAAATTCCATTGAAACAGCAACAAAAAACATTCATTTTTCACCATAAAATGCCAAAAGAAAATGCAAACTTCTTATGTCACTTTTTACTAACCAAATAGTTCAAAATTGTCAATTTATCTATATGAATGACGTGAAAACATATAACTGACAATATTTCAAACAAAAAAGACATATGAAGCAAAGGGCAATAATATAACACATAAGAAAATGGTCCATTACTTGGAAACAGACTTGTCTCATAAATATAAAGATGTACATGCTGCACTAACAGGTTTCCCCTCCCACTGTTGTAGTAGATCATCTATTTAATCAGCCCCTACCAGTGCTATGTACTGCTGTATATTACAATCCCTGCCCTGGATGCTATTAAATGCACAAAGCTGTTGGGAACATTGAGACAGCTTTCCCTCCCCACTGATCATAATCATCATTAGATCCTATCACCCTCCATGATAAGTTCCAGCCAACAATTTATTCTAACACTCTGCTAACTAAAGATTATACAGTAATATGGGCTGAAATATTTCATATGACAAGACTGTCAAAATAGAGGAGCACTCATTATGAAAATTATTGCGACTTATTATGAAAACTATTCTATCAGTTTCTATCTGAAGGCATATAGATAGTTTGAAGTATCAGCATGTCTCCATACAAACTGTACATATGTGTGACTGCAGTGGATAACTTAGCCTCTTACCCCAATCTCATCTAACAAAACTCTTTTAAAGAGTGCAAAATCATACATTTGAAAAGGGTACTTAATAACAGTAATTTCTGACAGAATTCCTCTCTAATATGGGCTGATTTTATCCTACTATCAAGGTAAGGTAGTGTTCTTCAGATGATGTCACAGATTTTAAGAAAACTACCTTATAATCCATCTACAGTATATAGCCTTCACTTACCAGTAGAGTGCATTCGAGCAAGAGTGTTTAATTCTGGGCTGTATTGGACTAATATAGCCTCCAGACTAGGGATATGGCACTTTTTAATTAAAATTCACAATTCCATATAAAGAGACAGTCCTAAGCTCAAGCCAATGTGACTAAAATTATGCGATAGTTACATAGAGTCGTCAGATATGAGAGAAATAAGTCACAAAGGGATATTCTGTAACACATTTTGGAATGTCAAGAAAGGGGAGCTTCTCACATTAAGACAGTAAGAAAGGTCATATATTCAATTTCTAGTGACATGTATTGCTTTGTTAACCCATTTTGCCTTACTATTCACTTATGGGTACCTAATTTTTCACTGGGCACCACAAATTCCTGGAAACCCTCACTTTGAAAGAATGACCTAACTTTCCACATCTGGTATTTCACATATTTCACCTTTCCCTGCCACATGTCATTGTAACGTCACTTAGCTGTGATGATAATATCTCAGAACTTATCTGTTGGATATATTTCACCTAAGCTATGTCAGGCCTGTTTGTCTTATTACATAGAAAATGTTCATTACATCACAGAGGGAGAAGCAGGGGTCTGGTTTTCATTACTCAGCCAACAAGAGTGCCATATCTCTACTTATCTTTCTGACCAATTTAAAAGTAATCATGATTTTCTTTGGTTCCATAGCAGGAGGTCACCACAAACAAAGTAAAACAAAAGTTATCTTATTTTTGTTTTTAGATATTGATTAATTAAATTAGTGGGGAAGATATTTGTCTCTGAGCTTTATACAAAATAGTCACTTATCAGCCCCCTCCCTTCAAATTACCTTTAAAATACAGGGACAGAGATATTCTGGAAATAACTAGTGGGGGAGGGTGGAAATAATGTAATGCTAGATGAAATAACCATTTCCTGAAAGAAAGGTTGTACATAATGGGGTAAACATCATGCACTGATATTGAAAACTGAAAATGACCACTCCCAGATTGAAAAATAAATTTTCGGCGTTAGTTAAGACGGAACTGGGCACCTGAGTTGTGAAAGTTGCAAAACGGGTATCAGAAAATGAGACCATTGTGGTGTCATGGTATCCAAACAATGTTATTTGTTCGTCTTTATGATATTGCGTGTTTAAGCTTACTTTCTCTATTTCCGTATAAATTCTACAATCTTGGTGTTAGATAACACTGTGCTATAAACGAAACATTTAACACTTATTTGTAAAACTGTCAATTTCTGATTTATATCAATCACTGGTAATTGTTAATTTCATCGAGATAATTACGTCAATTTTGTCCGTAAATGATTCATTCACACAGAAGACTGTTGTGAGAAATTTGTTAAATTCTTTAACAGTTATTTTTCATTTTGAGAATTTAAATTATAATAGGACTGCTGTTATATTGCAAAATATTATGACACGTACATTGCAATGTTGAGCTGATGACATCTAGGGGAGGAGTAGTTATAATTAATTTGCATATTTGCACACAATTTACACTTAGGGAATGCAGTTTATTAATTAATTAATTTATAAATCAAATAATTGTTAATTACATTAATTAAGATTGTGTATGTATTACACTTGAAGTAAATATTCTATTTGAAGATTCAACTTTTGAGTAAGCAGCAAACATCAACAATTTATAGAATCCTAATTTTAATTAATACTAAGAAACAAAATATTTACCAACATAATTAAGAATGATTCAAAATATCTCAATCAAAATTCTATCTTTGGAGTTTGACAATTTGAATTTAAAAGTTTTCATAAATGAACTCAGAGGAGTGAATAATTCAACGCAATAATCAGGTAATCTACTTATTCTCCAGAGACTGTTGTACAAAAAAGCAACCGCCCCTTGGTTATCTCCTTAATTAAACTGTTCAACATAATTATGAAAATGGCGTAAAAAATAAAGCCTAAAACAAGAAAAATGATATGATAATAATTTAAGTATTATAGAATTATCATGCCTGCCTACACTATACATCTGTCAGTTGGAAGAGTCACAAAAATAAAAAATCGGAAACGTTTTAATTCAGATTTGAAATAACTGAACCACATAATACACATTTTTCTTGAAAGAAAAGAGACTATGGAATATGGGGTTATGGGTTGACACCTTGTATAAAATGGGTGCCAGACTATTACAACATAACTATGACATTAATGAATAACATACTCAAAGAAGGCAATATAACAAAGCATATGTAAGAGAAAGTTCACAATTATCAACTATTGCATTATTCCATTCATTCTGATGTGCTCCAAAAAACATGATCAATGCTATCGGTAGTGATATCATTCATTTGTGAAAAAAAATTACATAATAGTTTTTTCTTTTGAACAGATTGACAGATTCTTTTTTTAACTACAGTTATGAAATACAATGCTCGATAGCATTAATTTGAACACCTTGTATGTATACATGTAGCAGATGCTTTTAAATTATATATACTTTGTAACAAATCTTGGATTTAACATTTTAATATTTTCTAAGCTTATTATGTTCAAAACAATTTTCTTAAATCCTAAAAAGAAAGAAGTGACCCTTAAACTAAATGAACTTAAACTTAACTTGAATTTAATCTTGCAAACTCTATCAATATTAAGTGTTTTTGAATTGTCAATCAAAACTTCTGATTGAATGGTATCAAATTCTGATTTTATTGGGACATATGGTATCTTTGGTAAATTTGATGGGGGTGGGGTTGAACTTTGGACTTCATGCTGCTTGGATGACCCAAGTAAAATGGAGTTTTATGAACATCAATGTATTGAATACCTAAATGAATTCTTGATCAAACTTAATTCCATGTTTCATTTCAATTGTGAATACCTCTTCCATCCACAGCAGAAGAGTAGTGACAATCTGTGGGGTCTGGCAACACAGAAACAGGGGTTCGATGCAAGACTAGACAAACATATCCATAGCAAAAATCACTCACCCAGACACTGTAGAATGGATTTCTTAATCTCTGGCTCGCTTGACACAGTCTCCATGGCCCACTCATCAAAAGCCTCCTCGCATCTGGGAGTGGGACTGAACTTCGCTCGTTTGATTGGTCCATATTGTTCATCAGCGCATAAGATTGGGCTTCCATTTACGACTTCTGTTGGGAGATCAGTCGGGAGATGTCGTATATTTGCTGTATTGGTGACAGTTGCCAACCCTTTCCTGAATTTCATCATCTTGCAGGAGGAGTGCTAAAAAAATTCATTGGATTTGCATTTGTATGTTATGTTCAGGTTTATCAATGTCTACAAAAACAGTCAATCACTGATGGAGTATTCCTAGTATTCCTGCTTTATGAATGAAAAGGAAATGTGAAGAACAGACGATATTTGCTCGTTTTAATCTATGGTATACTGAAAGGGCCTTCAAACCAGCCAAAGTTCACCTGGATACCTTAACACAATGCTTACAATCAAAAATGAAAAAAATCAGTCAATACTTTCTTGTTGAGTATAAGCAAATCCGTTTCTATAACTAAATATGATATCTTTATAAGAATCAATTTGCATTTACTTTCAACATGTATTTATCAAGCATTATACTTTGTGGGAAAAACAAATAAATGAAAAACTAAAAAATGACAGATAGAGAAGTATAATAATCAATGTTTTTTACTTATTTACCTTGTGGTTAGAACCAAGCACTGGGAGGTTTTAAAAAACATTTATCGAATTCTGATCATTTCAATTCATACAGTTACAGTTCTTTACGATAACAGTTACTTAAATCATTTCATAAGGGTAATCAAAAATATTCAAAAATACATCTGCCCATAAGTGCACCAACATCACTCAGTACATTTATGTCACATGCTGTCAAGTTTTTGAAGGGAAATTTTGAAGTTTTTCAAAAATGCAAATTGGATTAGTTTTTCTGTCATAAATACCAAATGATATAAAACACATAATATGAGACATTAATTACATTTAAGAGCAATTACAAACTTCAAACATGTACTAAACATGAATGATTGAATATTAAGTACACTACACTATAGGTATATACAATAGAAACACCTTACCTGGAAAATGGGTTGTATTTGCACCTGCAACTTGTTGCACACCTAAAGTGAAAACCAAAGATCTCTGTATTTATACATAGAAAACAAAAAATACCCTTACAAAAAATACACTTCCACAAAATATCATCATCCCTTAGAATTTTGTAGTCAAATATGCATATATTTTGGATAAACATTCCAACCGGGTAACAGTTTTTATTATAGACCTTGATATGAGATGTAATACATCAAAATGCATTCTTTTTAGAATATTTTATATCTTTAAATGTTGATAAAGCACAGGAATCACATTAATTAACATTGTGATATCTATATTTTAGGGAAGATACATTAGATAAGAACCTACTGTTTCTAATGATAACCCACAGTTTCACATGTATCAATAGAGAAACCAATTAAACTAATTTATGCAAATTTGAAACACAAACTGAAAACTTACTCAGTGGTTACGATAGTTCAATAAAAAACAAAACCAGCATTAATGGTGAGATTGCATGGAAACAACAGTTAAAATCAATTAAGAAGTGTTACGATGTAGTGAAATCAATTTGAAGTGTATTTTAATTAATTAGACACAGCTAGAGAAATGTTCAAATTATTGTTTCAGAACTATTTTAAACTCACCCAAAATTAGTCCACACAATCGGTCAGCTTGCTGTTTAATGCCCTTCAGTCATATCTTTAAAATGTTAAGTTCCGTATTTCTGGAAAAAGCAAATATTCACTTAGTGTCCAATGCACACAATAACTCTCTTTGTACATAAAAACTTGATCAATATTGTGTCCCAGATAAAGCAGGACGTCTTCCCTCTTTGGTCCCGTTAGCTTCTATCAATGAACTAAAAACATCCCTTGCAGATAAAGTAAATCATTGAATATAAATCCTTTAATTTCTCATCAATATTCACTTTTTAACTTCCTTTCAACGTTCTTAACAGTCCAAAATGTTGAAACACACATGCTTCAATCAAAACAACTTAACCATTGTGTTATATGATTGAATATTGCCAAGTATGATATAACTGAAAAGGTCTATACTGCACAGAATACTACCCGAGTTACTCTAGCGTAGAAAGCGTCAAAGAGCCACGCTCGCTTTTGCACCTGTTCCTTTTTACCCTACTACTTCACCCTCCAATTATCATTTTGGATCAAAACCTTGCAATAATCAATAAAGTGTTTTCCTACAATGTCATCAAAATCTTACAATCGCAGATCTTGATTTTTATATTCCTGATTTGAACGTACTTTAAAGACATACAAGATATTTACATGATAACAGTTTTATAACCTTCAATTAAAAATAGAAAAAATAAAGGATGAATATTTTACTTTCAAATAAACACAATAGGTCAACTGGGTACCTCTACTCTTACATCTGCCACACTTTGTCGGAATTTAATATAAAATGAAGAAGATTCACTTCAGTGGTTTTCTTAACTTAAAACTGAAAGGAAGTATTAAGAAAATATGATATCATGTCCCAAGTGATTCATAAGTATAAACCCATTGTGCTATTAAGTGTGATCACTGATTAATCCATGAAAACAAATAATAGTTTGATATCTTTATCTGTACCTGACCTAATCCAAACGCTTTCCATGGCAAATTAGATTCAAATCTCAATTAAGTTGAGATAATACCAGATAAAAGTTCAAATGTGAGAGCCAACTGACAGCACTCTTCAATTTCAAAATGGCAGATGATTACCCATCTCTCAAACAGAAGAGTAGGAGAGATGAAAGAATAGATAATGTTAATATAATGTACTGACCATTGTCACAAACACATGCTGCATTGTAATATGAGTTTAATGCCTGAATAATCTCACTTGATCCCTGTATTAATATATCACAATAAATATAAACGCATTGGACCAGGCACTTCGAGGCCCCAAAAATAAAATACCTTGTCAAGGCCTCATAGGTGTAGCCAGGAAGGGGTGCGATGGGTGCGATCACACCTCCCCCCCCCCCCCCCCCCCGACTGAAAGCTGGCTACGCCCCTGAGGCCTACTTATAAAATGCACTCGCTTATATGAAGGAATATGAAATCTCACCTCAAAATATAATGCTTTTCTATTTTCAGACTTTCTCTAAAAAGTCCATGATTCCTGAACTCAGTACATGTACATATATTCTGAAAGTACCTTACATCCAAAATGAAATGTCATGTTGAAAGCCCCTTTATTTATATATACTGTATATTCTACAGAGGACATAATGACCAGGTAAAAATCCTTGAAAATACACTTGAAAACTATTGGGTTTCCAAGGGTGGGAGCTAAACCTATTTAACATTCATGTATTGTCCACTTCCTTTTAAATGCGATGAACAAACTTTGCATTTGCAAAATGGCATTAAATGATTTTCAAATTCAGGCAGTATGTTCTTATTCAAAATCCAACATAAACCTTTAAGGCCCTATGGTAGAACTGTTCCCATGGGTTTCCCATAATTTTAGAACCCTACGGTACACTAACTTACCTCTTGATTGTCAATACTAGATCAGCAAATATACACCTCCCCAAACTGAATTTGTAAATAAATAAATAAGGATAAACCTATGCACAGTTTGACCACTAAAACCTCAGGTAAAATACCAAAAATCACACTATGAATGGTGATAATCTATACACCATATTTGACAATTCTTTACTTATCTTAGGGATTTATTTAAGATCCAGATATGGGAACTGATATATGGGAAATTATGTCACTTACTGGGCCTAAATTACAATCAAATTAATCCACTCTGTTTCTTAAGGAGTCAACTCAAATACCACATATTCAATTAATTTTACTCAACAGCATTAATTTACTCAAACTCATTCTCAAAACTGTCATTTACATTTTATTTGATTGAGAGGATACATTTTTGAAAATAGGTTTGGAACAAAGCTAAGTTCCAGACCCAAATCAATTCTTTAATTGCCAATTAATAATTTTCAGAACACTTAAAAAGAATAGTAACAGATGTAATTACTTAAAAACTTTAAAAAATTGGATAAACAAATTAAAAAACACTTTATATTTAATCCTATCAATTAGTGTGGCTTATCCAACTTGTATGTAAGATTCGAAAAAAAATCATTTTACTTGACATCATAGTTATAGTGTTTAATTCACATCTGTTTGTCTCTATCGTTCAATTCTCAATGGTTTGTCTTACGTTTTGAATTAAGATTTGTCGTAGAGTGAATTTGCAAATAATTTGATTTGGCATTCTAATTTATCTGAGTCCCAGTCCCTCTTTATCTCATGCTTGGGAAGGATATTACAGGCTGTGACTGAGGCTGTGGATCTCACAATGTTGCTTATTTTTATCTAAATCTATATTGAGAAATAAATCAATAAATGAGCAATGATGATTGTTACTTCAAACTCACAAAGCATTCTGACAGATGTCAAAATAACTCTAGCTTCGACTATTCAAGTGGAAATCAACAGTGAGAAAACTGCATGATATGAGACGTTTGATATATACTTAAAACATTATAAATTATCATTATATCTGTTAAATTACTTCAACAGTTGAAGAACTCAATCTAAATGTACACCAAAATGCAACTGAAATGTACTTCATTTTCAGTCTCCATCCCTATGCTTATACATAATATATGTTTGCAATTACTTTTAACTTTTAATATCTCTATAATAAAATCAAACATGTTGAATATATTGAAGTTTCAAATCTCAAATTTACTTTAAAAGTCAACAGTAGTTTTTGTACACCTCTTATGTCCTAATCAATGACTGATTTTTTTTACGTCCATAAATCAGTGCTGTCAATGCATTTAATAATAACATGGCTGAGACAATTACAGAGATAATATTTTTCTTACCTTTCAGCATTTAACTATAACTGTTTTTAACTAATTCTAATTAAAATTTTTAAAAAAATCTCACCTTGAAACCAGTGTTTAATGTGACTCAAAGTTTGTCTGCTAAACGCTGTATATTATATTCCACTGTAATGCGGCAATGTAAATGCTAGCTGTCGGCAAAGCCTTCAATGTTCTATAATATCCTGTAAGTAGATGCAATTTGAATGTATTGTCCAGTTTAAGTCAAATCTATAGTGGCAACCAATTTTATTTATTGTGAAAACCTTGCAAAGCTGCATGCTGCATTTTATACACACCCAGATTCTGCATTAATCCCATTACAATTGGCTT